CCATCATTGAGGTATTGAAGGACCAGGATACATTCCGCGTCCCGTGGGCCAGATATCTTAATGACATGATACCGGGCAAGAAGTTCAATGACTATATGCTAGGAGGCGATGGTCCGGGCAATACAGCCCAGAAGAAGCTTGTCAAGTCCGTTTTGTTCAGTCCAGATCAGTTCAGCCAGTTGCTTTCGCACACGACTGTTACGCTGGGTAAAGAATTGCTAGAGTTGAACACTCTACAGCTGTCCAAGGACCTGAACCAAGTCGATATTATTCGAGAGTAAGTTGATCTATCTTCTGCCAACACATTAACTATGACAACTAGAGGCTTACTGACCCATTTCAGCGTCGCAATCCCCCTCAATGCAAGAATAATGGCAGACCTCTTTTGCTTAGACATGAAGACCCCAGAGAATGAGTCTGGCAGCATGAACGCAGCAACAGTTTACAAACATCTCATGAACGTCCGCACCTGGGGTTTCAATAACACCGACCCAGGGTTGATGCTGCAACGAAGAAAATGGGCCTCTGAGAGTGCCGAGGCCCTTGTCAAGTCTACTCTCAAGGTCGTCAACGAACAAGCCCAGCCACAGAAAACCCACATCCTTGGAAGCTTGACTGGCCACAAGCAGTCCGCCAGTACCCTACGCTGGTATGGAAACAACGTAGCAAAGCAGATGATGGAGATGGACATGACTGCGGCTGAAACAGCAGAGGTTTGCTGGCTTACAGCAGTTGGGGGTGTTGGAGCGCCAGTCGGACTGGTTCGTTACCTCATATTTATTTGACGAAGTGACACATCCTCCTAACGTTATCCCCATCATCTAGATCGCCGACGTCCTACAATATTACCTCCGCCCAGAAAACATCCACCACTGGAAAAAGATCCAAAATCTCGTCTCCCAACCCGACAACAGTGGCTCCGTCGACAAGCTTCTCCGACAATACGTACTCGAAGCGCAACGTCTAACGAGCATGGAATGCACCGTTCGCGTCTGCAAAGCCCAACGTACCATCAACGATCAGGAATTCAAGCCAGGCGACGTAGTAATCACCCTCCTCGTAAGTAGCCCACACCTATCCCACTCACACCCCTCCTACCATGACTATCCAACTAAACCCCATCCAGGGCCCAGCCTGCCGCGACCCAACCAGCATCCCCGACGCAGAAACATTCAAGCTCGACCGCCCCTCAAACGCATACATCCACTTCGGCTACGGCGCGCACGAGTGCTTAGGCAAGGAAATCGCATTGACATTCGCGGTCTCCATGCTCCGCGTCCTAGCAGGGCTGAAGTATCTACGACCAGCACCAGGCGATATGGGCATGCTGAAGAGTATCATCGTCGATGGGAGACGGGTCTATCTGAATGATAGTTGGTCGTGGATGACTCAGGATCCGACTAGTAAGTCCTCCTACACAACCACCAACCACCCATCTTATTAACATTATCTCCACCTATAGCATGGAAACTCCACTTCTCAGGCTACGGCCAAGGCGCATACGAAGCCCCGCCCCCGCCCCCGCCCCCAGCAGCAGCAATACCAGCCTTCCCTATTACAGACCAGAACCCTGATACCAGCGATGAAAGTGGTGTCGACGATACAATCTACTCCGCTGTACCCCCTACACATCATCATGATCATGGAGGGCCAGAATATACCAGACAGGAAAGCTACAGCATGACTGATGGCGGAATGGGCATGGCAACGCAGTATTCGTTCGGACAGAGCCATCATAATCAGTATCAGTATCATGAGGTGACTAGAACGTCTTCGTCGTCGTTGCCTTCTATGTTGGGGGATGATGAGAGTTATGGGAGGTTTTCGGGGACGTTGAATTGACATTTCATTTGTGTGAGAGGGGAGAGGGGTGATGAGGTATTTGTTGTTGTTAATGAATGGCTTCTTCAATATAAGACAGATAAGATGTTCTCAGTTGGGATAGGCATCTATACTGTAGTAATAATCTAAGAGTGACTGGTAAGAGGTACTTTGGAACTACGACCTATAGCTGCGATTAATGTACTCATCTGTAATGTAACATCCAACAGCATATGAATATGAGATAGAATGTGTCGCATTCTTACTATACCTTGATGCAAATTTCTCTACGAATCCCGGATGTACCAGCCATCTGTCAGGTTGAACCATGGAACAGTAAACTCTAAATAGAAAGAGGGTCGAAAAAAAAAAAAAAAAAAAGAAAAGAAAAGAAAAAGGAAAAAGAAGGAAATAAGAAAATAAGCAACTAGAAGCAAAGAAATTAGGGGAATAAAGGATAAAAGCAGAATGCAGAAAACAGGAGAATAGGATGTAGGAAAAGAAGGGGAAGAGGAGAGAGAAGGGGAAGTACGAAACAGGGAACAAGAAGCAAAGAAAGAACAATAAGAAATAGAGAATAATGTCTAAGAACCGAACGGAAATGAAAACAAGAAATTAGAAGCACGGAAACTAGAAGGCAGAGATAGGAAGCATGAAAGCATGGAAGCAAAGAAGAAAAACAGAAGAAGCAGAAGAAGCAGAAGAAGCAGAAGAAGCAGAAGAAGCAGAAGAAGCAGAAGAAGCAGAAGAAG